GGGAATACAACCCCGATTAAGACTCACCCAAGACGGATCCCAGTGCACTGGCAAGGCGAGCTGCAAAAGCTCATGGACGAGATGTTGAAAAAGTAAGTTATACGACCCTCTACTTCCCCATGGGCAGCCCCAGTCGTCTTGGTAAAGAAGAAAGACGGTGGCTTTAGACTGTGTTGATTACAGGCGGCTAACCGGAGTCACGCGGAAAGATGCAAATCCACTGCCAAGAATCGATGACCTTTTCGACGCGCTCGGAGGATCGGCTTATCTCAGCACGCTAGATTTGGTGTCCGGCTATTGGCAAGTGGAAGTAGAAGAGAGTGACCGAGCGAAGACAGCCTTTGTAATCCCTTCAGGTCTTTATGAGTTTCAAACAATGCCTTTCGGCCTATCAAACGCTCCTGCAACATTCCAACGCCTTATGCAGAAAGTGCATCAGGATTTAATTCCTCACAAGTGTCGGTCTATCTGGACGACGTCATGGTACATGGGAGAACGAAGGAGGCACATCTAAGCAATCTAGCTGAAGTGTTAACGTGTCCAATCAAGCTAGGTTTGAAACTCCAACCAAAAAATGTCGCTTACTACAAGAAGAAGTTACCCATCTCGGACACATCATCTCTAGAGCATGCATCCGGACAGATCCGCGCAAGACAGATCAGATAAAGGCGTGGCCCATTCCCATTAATGCCGAGGAGTTACGCAGTTTCTTAGGACTGGCATCATACTGCCGTCGATTCATAAAAGGTTTTTCGGAAGTCGCAGCCCCTTTAAACGCTTTGTTGCAGAATAATCGCAATTTCGATTGGACTGTCGAATGTCAAACGAGCTTCGATCGATTGCGTGAGTCTCTGTGTACTGCCCCGATGTTAATCTTCCCCGACTTGTCACCACACGCTGGGGAGCTTATCTTGGACACGGATGCTAGCGATCAAGCCATTGGAGCGGTTTTGTCACAAAAAGGGCGGGATGGCATAGAGAGAGTGGTTTCATACAGTAGTAGAAGCCTTACGTCAAGAGAACAAAATTACTGTACAACAAGGAAAGAAATGTTGGCGTTGGTGTTTTTCATAAAACAAAATCGGCACTACCTTCTAGGAAAAAAATTCTTAGTAAGGACTGATCACCAATCACTCAAGTGTTTGTAAAACTCCAGGGACCCTGAGGGGCAGATTGCTCGATGGCAAGAGCAGCTACAGGAGTATGAGTTCGAATGTCACCATCGGCCTGGGAAACTACACGGCAGCGCGGACGCGCTATCGAAGATTCCTTTCCGAGCTCACGGAAACTGTCCTTCCTGCATTACGCAACACGTAGCGCTAGTCAACCTACAAAAATCCGAGTATGGCCGCTGGTAAGAGGCACAGGCTTTGGACCCAGACATATCACTTGTCTACCGCTAGCGGCGCTCGGGAAGGGACGAACCAGCTCCGAAAGAAATGGAAGGGAAAATCTACGAGGCCCGGTGCTCGCGGGCGATGTGGGATAAACTCGCCATCGAAGAGGGTGTGTTGGTCTTCTATTTCGGCCCCACGTACCTGAGGAGGATCGTAGTTCCACAAGCGTTAGTTACGGAAGTGCTGTCGGAACTGCACCAACAGCTGGAACACGCTGGAATCAATAAAATCGAATCGGCGGCGCGTCGACGATTTTGGTGGCCGCATCAAGGAAGAGACATTGTCATTTTCGGCCAAACTTGCGAAAGATTCGCGACGTTCAAAAATCCGCCTGTTGCTCATAGGGCGCCATTACAATCCATGACAGCAGGTTACCCGAACGAAATAGTTGGAGTAGACCTCGTTGGTCAACTACCGGAAACGCCGAGAGAGAATCGCTACATTCTAGTCGTGGTAGACTACTTTCACCAAATGGGGCGAAGCCGTGCCAATCGCGCAGGCTGATACTCTCACTGTGGCAACAGCGATGACTAACCACAGGGTTTGCCAATGGGGAGCGCCTGGGCAATTGCATTCCGATAGGGGATCATGTTTCGAAAGCTCACCGGTCCAGGGGATGTGCAGAGCACTCGGTATAGATAAAACGCGAACAACGGCCTGCCATCCACAAGGGAACGGAGAGGTTGAACGTACGAATAGGTCATTGAAGTCACTCTTGAAGGCGTTAGTGGACCAGAACATTTACGAGTGGGACAGGTTGTTGCCTAAATGCTTATGGGCCTATCGCATTACGGTCCACTCTTCTACCGGACAAACGCCGTCGTTTATGTGAACGGGTAGAGCAGTTCGGTTGCCCTCGGATGTCAGATTATCGAGATCATAACAGGTATACCCGTCGGTGGTTGAATACGTCAGCAAACTCATCGACTCCGTTAGACGCACTCACGAAGCGGCACGCATCCATTTGGAGAACGCTCAACGGCGACAGAAGGAGTACTACGACAAGAAGGTCTTCGGTGTCCCGTTGATAGCAGGCGACTCGTATATTTGCAGCAGGCACCGGTATCCGGAATACCAGCGAAGCTACATCGTGTGTGGGCTGGCCCCTACGTGGTAGACCGAATACCATCTGATCTGACGTGTGTGATTAGGGACCCAAAGAACGCCGTTGGGCCGCTCATGGTCGTACACATTAATCGACTTAAACCTTTCCATATCGAATCTGAGCGTTCGGATGAGGAACATCACAATGAGCCACCGATAGAAGTAGCCACCGACGTTGAAGTACCAGCTGAAGGTTGCTTTGGTGTGGCAACGGGGACGTTGCCTATTTAGAAGGGGTCCGGTGTAAAGATTGATCGAAACTAGTTTGGCGCGTGGTTGAAGTTAATTCGTTGCTCTGACGGCACCTTTTCTGTCTGCCTTTCAGAAAGACACTCCTGCACAATTATTGAAGAATGACAAGAATCTGAAACGAACAGTTGACTGTAACTTTTCTTTCCTCCCCTCCTATGTTACTGATTCTTTCTTATAGAGCCTACATGTTGCGTAATAGACGTTCCGTCTCAATCACTGGACCAATCCCTTGCCTGCGTGCTATAATATGAACACGAGTTGGCGTGTGAGCATGGAAAGGAAATTATTATTAGATGAGCAACGATGCCTTTGTGTGAGGTTAAACGGTAAAGCATGTATGTGTTGAAATGAGCGACCAATGGTCGATGTAGTCATGAAATACTGAAAGGAGAATCGAAACCGTTTTTGACGCGCATTCAAAGTTGGATCTTTGCAATAACGGCACTCTCTCCCGTTTGCCTTTCAGAGCGCCTTTCCTGCTCAATTACCGGGGGAGAACAAGAACACAACGATATTGGTTAACAGTGACTTCCTTTGTTCCGATTTACCTCACGTCTATTACCTTATGTAGTGGCTACGTGTTATGTAATAGAACTTCCTTCTCAACCCTGAGAGTTCTCCCGTGCTTGCGTGTTACAAAAGTGGCGACCCTGCCAGGATCCACAGTTCCCCACAACTGCCCACATTACTTCATTGGTTACAAAGAGAAAACTCTGAAAGTGTTCAGAGCAAGCTGAATAGCAAACGGACACCAGGGATAAGATGTTCTGGATCTGATCGATTGCGTCTGGACCCAGAGGAATGGGGCAAATGCACTCGGCAATGCGGGATGTAGCATTTGCATCAGGCGAAACGAATGAGGAGATGAAGCAAGACGTGTTTGGTAAGCTGAATCGCTTTTGGTATCTGCGGGCTTGTGGATCTGCCTCCAGGGAGTTCGGACCAGCCACAAAGCTTTCGGAATCGCCATCGCTTTGGTCGGCAGTGCATCGGCGACTTGGTGGTTTCCACCCAGATCGCGTGGTTGAGGTGCACGTGCGAGTGGCCCTCAGAGCGGTGCATAAAGTGCGATGCTGTGCAGCGAGCACACCTGTTGGAATGCGGTATGGGACAGCCGATGAATCACGTAGCTTGAAACCGAGTGAGCGTGAAAATCGAAGCACGTGCCGAGGGTTTGTTTGGATAAGAACATGTGTCGAACGAACGGGCATTTGTATGCTGGCTCAATGGATATCTAGGTACCTTGACTGCCGTGTGGGACGCACTTTCCGAGGTTTGTGTGGCGGTGCTCAGGTGAGGAGTGTCAACACCAGAAGCAGGCTGTACGATCCCTGAACCGCTCAATGCATCTGCGTCCTTTTCAGAGGCAGACGGCTTCGAGCGATAATGCGCTTATTCTGTATACCTCCCTCCAGCGGTATGCACCTGGGCGATGAAGTGGTGTTAAATCAGTCGCACCATCGCATGAACGACGGGGGAAGCTGGAACAGTGTGGAATCATAAATCCAGGAGGAGCTAACAAACGCAGATCTTTTACTGTGAATCGAGCAACTGGTTGAGGTATTATTGCTGGTAAGTTTGCCGGCAGGTTGAGTTGTGGCGACAGTATTCCCGGACCATGCGCATCTGAAATAGCACCACTGTCGTCCTCTGGTCCAACAGAAGAGTTGGGCCAGAAAGATAATTTATTGAGTGGTTGTGATGCACAGTCTGTTTTTGCTGTCTCCATGACCGCGGTGTCCATTGAGGCTGGAAGATTTCCCGGCTCGGGATTCGAACCCGGTCCCATGATAACTTGTACATCAAGCATGCATTCGGAAGAAGTTGTAAAATCAGAAGCTAAAGTGGAATATCTGGAAGATAAAAGGAATTACTAACACCGGTCAGAAACGAACCTTGCGATGCCACATATGCGAGAGTATTTTCTGCGACAATCGGCGCGCTATAGATAGGCTCTTCTATCGCAGATTCTTGGACCAGACCATGCCGGCCAAAATTTGCCCAGAAGCGCAGTAAGTGCGAAGGCGGTTTTGTGGTGGCTGTTTCTTGACGCAACTCAAGTGACGGCAGAAACCTCGGGTGTTTGGAAGTGCGATCATCAGTTATCTCTTTCGTACCATCTGAGCTATTAGAAAACGAATGGCCTTTGGCTCCTGAACCGCTCAGATTTATTACCCACTGTAGCCCAGTTGGAATTTGGCCGCTAACTAACAGTGAACCCATTAGCGGTGGCGGCGTACACTGCCTTTAAAACTGGTGTGGTACAATTCGTGGGGTTGTGTTGCCAACTGTGTCCGTAGCGTCCAAAGTATTCTGTACAGGTGCGACGTTAGTCGGAATAGGAGATTTCACACCACGTTCAACCTTTGGTTCGGTGGTTGCCCCCGCCAAAGTCGTTGGTGTCGGTCTGCGGAATGTCAAAGGAGACGTGGGCAGCTGGACGGTGTGTTGTCGGACCCCGGGAGCAAGGGAATTCACCCAGTGTGAAGTCTGTACACCCAAATATGACAAGATTGCATCCTCCTCGGCCCTGAGAATGAACGGGGCAAGTCTTAATTCCAATTCTTTCGGTTCAGCCGTACTCTTCCAGATGTCTGAATAAAAGGAGATATCTTCGAGCTGCTCAGATACATGATGACTTGAAACCATAAGCAGGTCAACTAGCGTCACAATTCTACATAGGATCGTTACACTGGGACTTCTACATCTGTATATACTGTTGTCGTTTTACATCCTACCATACGTTGCCCTTTTCCTTCCTTGTGTGCGGGCTCTTCCATTACCTTTCAGTGGATCATTCAGGTTTCTCAATCTCTTATTAGCTGAGGTCCCGTATCTCATGACAGCCAACTTATTGTTTCGCATTTTCAACATTGTACAGTTCCAATCATGGATATTTGAACAATTTTCTGCGTTACTGTTACAATTGCATTATAATGTTTGTACCGCTGTACATATCTGATCATGCCTCCATGAGCGTGCCTCGCATAGTCGAGAATAAAATATTTATTTATTTATTTATTTATTTAGTGGAAACCATATGAACGTGTCCTCGCTGGTGCTGCTCTCCATGATCCTCGGATTTTAAATAAAAAGACCTCTTCGACAAACTGATGAAGTTGCTGCGAACGCTTGAAGTGACGAAGCTTTGCACACAACAGTTGGTAGGCTGCATGGAAGCGATCATATTTTGCCTGTATGGTAGGCAATCTAATGAGGACTTGGTCGAATCCGGCTCCTATGGCCAGCGCTCTGATAAGGTTGGTCTTCAGGAAACGCTCCGTGCGGTCTGCTTTGCGCTTATGCACGAGATCGCTATGCCCCGGATATTGAGATCGGAATACCTTCTCAAACTTTTTCTCTCTGGCTTTGTTCCTATACTTCTCAATCATTGCACAATAATGAGACACGTTCGGAGAGGCTTACATGCAGGGAGTGTTTGTGATCTGTTGCAGACTGAATTGGCGAGCCAGGTCCACAGCTAACGTGCGACGGATCACCTGCTCGCAAGCTGCAGAGAGGAAGAATGGGAAGCGTACCAGCCCACGAAGCACCTGACTTCGGATAACCCCCTGTGATTCGCCAGGAAAGGGGAACCACCCACAGACCAAAATGTAGAGGATCACGCCGACTCCATACATCAGACAGCGGGTCATCATATGGTTCACCTTTGCACAGCTCCTGGGCAGCATATCGGGGGCTTCCGCAGTGAGTAGACAAAAGATCGCCGGGGCGGAGGAACTTGCAAAACCCAAAGTCTGTCACCTATATTTTTGATTCGAAGTCAAGCAGCAGGTTCTTAGCCTTCAGAACCCGACGCACAACGCCTGAACTGTGACAAAGATCCACGGCTCATTGCCTTTTGCCAAAACAGCTCCCGAACTTCCTTTGCGCTAAACGCACGTGACTTGCTTATATGAGCGAACACTTCACCTTCGTTTGAGAACTCGGTGACCATAAAAATGCTGCATTCGCTTTCCATCACATGGTACAAGCCAACGATATTCGGATGCCGGCAACACTTCATGGCTTCCAGTACGCTGAAAACCTTACTCAGATTGCTAGATTCAATCAGTTCTTTGTTAATAATCTTAATTACAACCTTCACTTTGGTTTGGACGTGTCTGGCCAAGTTGACAACAGCGTAACTACCCCGGCCCAATGTAGGACCCAATTCATATGGACCCACAAGTGGACTGTTTGAGGAAGAGCGACTGCAGGGCTTAGCCAAGGTAACGTTACTGAGCTGCTTGCATGTGGGAAGCCGAATGTGTTGGTGGGTAATGACCCGCTCTGATAACGTTCAGCTTCAGATGGGTGATGTCGGACAGCGGAGCCGGGCAGTGCGTGCAAGTGAAAATAAGGACCTTCATTCGAAGCGCCGTGTAAGAATTCACAAGATTGTAAAGAGGGCCCAGAGTGCACAGGACAGACGAGACGATGATGCACTGCACCTTTTCCATTTGTCTGAACAACTGAGATGGATAACGTCTGTGAGAACAAGCCTCCGAAGCCGCTTGTGCTTGCTGTTCTACACCAAGCGCTGTTACAGACTGCACTTCGCTTTTCTTGCCACAGGGCATCATACCTTCACCACTACATTAGAATCAATCCTTGGAAGGTCGGGGAATTAGTGAAGAGGCTGTCGGTTGGTACGAATGCAGAAATCGGACAGTGCTCCTTACACGGAGGTCCGACGACCCATGCTAGACACACACCATAGAAAACACAGCGTCATTGAAACCTGTAGGGAAAAATGGCGTTGAGGGAACCGGACGTCCCAGACGTGCGTCAACGGAGCGCTTTACGTGGCATCCTAACTACTGTCAACAATATTCAGGCTCACGGCGACCAACGCTACCTGGTTCTCCATGGCCCCGCCGTCAAATACCGAACCGCGGATTATCACACTACAATAACAGACACACACGTGATTGGCACCGACTGCATTTACGCTTTATACCAGCCATTGTTTGCGCATCGACCAAACAATCAGCATTAACAATAAAACTAGAGACCGCAGGTGTTCCGTTAGTAGGTCTCATCGACACAGGCGCATGTAAGAGTCTAATCAGATCTAACTTGACTATGCAGCTAACAGATCGCGTATGCGCGCCTTGTTGCTGCCGATTAACTACCGCCAATGGAGAACTGTTTTCCGTTCGAGGATCCTTAACCGCACAAGTTGCCGTCGCGAAACAGAGCTTCGCTCAGGAGTTTATTGTTGCGGACAAAATTCCGTTTGCTTTTGTTGTTTGGATGGATCTGTTTTGCCGGTTGAAATGTCGATTGGATCTGGACAGGTGCCAACTAATCACTGATAGCTGTACAGTACTGTTAAGACCTTGTAAAAGTAGTGCTTTGGAAGCTGCTAAAACCTATGAGCACAACCTAGACATTGCGAAATACATTAATGCCTATTCGCCCAGCCGACCGAGTCACGGATAGGCAGACACTAAAGCGGCTCAAAGACGTATTGCGCGACCACTCAGACGCATTGGCTTGGCGAAGTACCGACTTGGGTCGAACCAATCTAGTAACACACAGTATCCACGCCAGTGCTGCAAACCCGAGTAAAATTCCGGCAAGGCGCATACCATTACGTTGGCAAACTGAATTGCAGAAGCTCATAGATAAGATGCTAGAAAAGGTAATACGTCCCTCCACTACAACATGGGCAGCCCCGGTTGTTCTATTGAAGAAGAAGGACGGGGTTTTCGCCTATTTGTCGACTATAGCTAATTAAATGAGATTACCCGAAAAGACACTTTCCCCTACCCAGGATCGATGATCTAGTTGACGCACTGGAAGATCAGTTTACTTCAGTACCCAAGATTTGGCTTCCAGCTACTGGCAAGTAGAAGTGGAGGAAAGCGACAGAGCAAAAACGGCGTTTGTAGTACCATCAGGTTTTACTGAGTTCTAGACCATGCCCTTTGGCCTCTCTAACGCCCCTGCGACTTTTTAACGCCTGATGCACAAAGTGCTACATGAATTGATGCCTCACAAGTGTCTCGTTTACCTGGACGATGTCATTGTACACGAAAACATAAAAGATGATCCCCTTAGCAACTTGGAGGAGGTGCTAACGCTTCTAATAAATGTGGGCTTCAAACTACATCCAAAGAAGTGCCATTCACTACAGAAAGGGATAACGTGTCTTGGGCACATCCTTTCGGGGACGGGGATTCGAACTGACCCTTGTAAGACGGAGAAAGTGAGATTTTGGCCAACACCTGCCAACGTTGAGGAACTACGCAGTTTTTTAGGGTTAGCTTCATACTATCGGCGATTCGTGAATGGGTTCTCAGAGATCGCTGCGCCTTTGAATACTTTGTTACAGAAAGGGCAAACCTTCGAATTGACCGTCGAATGTGGAAATATTTTCGATCGGGTACTTGAATCCCTCTTTGCAGCTCCGGTGTTAATTTTCCACGGTCTGTCACCAAATGCCGGGGAGTTTATGCTAGACACGGACGCGAGCGACCAGGCGATTGGAGCTGTTCTGTAGCAGAACTGGACGGAATAGAACGAGTGGTGGCTTACAGCAGTAGAAGTTTCAGTGCAAGAGAACGGAACTAGTGCACCACCAGCGAGGAAATGTTAGCCCTAGTATTCTTTATAAAACAATACCGACACTACCTACTAGGAAGGACTTTTCTGGTACGAACAGATCATCAGTTACTTCCTTGAGTGCAGAACTTCAGAGACCCTGAGTGACAGATCGCCAGATGGCAGGAACAACTTCAGGAGTATGAGTTCGAGTGCCGACACCGACTTGGTGCGCAGCCCGCCAACGCGGACGCTCTGTCCAGACCTCCTACTCGTGCTCATGGAGACTGCCCATCTTGTAGTACACAACACGTAGCTCTAGTTAACCTTCAAAGTTCGGAGTACGGTCGGTGGCACGAGGCACAGGCAACGGACCCAGATGTAGCGCCGATCTATTACAAACGACGATTGGGGAGCGCCAAACCTACCGCAAAGGAAATGGAAGAAACAAGTTACGAGACTCGATGCTTATGGGAGATGTGGAACAAGCTCTCCCTTGGGGAAGGTGTGCGACTGTTTAATTTTGGCCCAAACTATATCAGGATAATCGTAGTTCCGCGATCATTAGTTTCCGGAGTGTTATCTGAACTGCAAGAAAAGCTGGGTCATGCTGGAATCAACAAACTTGCAGCTGCAGCACGTCAACGGTTTTGGTGGCCACGTCAACGGAGAGACGTCACTAACTTTTGCCAGACGTGTGAGACATGCGTCACAGTCAAGAACCCGACCATCACCCGGGGAGCACCACTGCAGCATATGAATGCAGGCTACCCGCACGAGATTGTGGGAGTAGATCTTGTTGGTCCCCTACCAGAAACATCACGTGGGCATCGGTACCACTTGGTCATGGTCGACTATTTCCCTACGTGGTGCGAAGCAGTTCCCATCGCACAAGCCAATACGGTCACCGTAACAATGGCAATGATGTAGCACTGGGTGTGTCAGTGGGAAGCACCGTGACAGCTACACTCTGATAGGGGTGCAGTTTTCGAGAGTTTGTTGTCGCAGTAACTTTGTCGCGTGTTCGGTATAGACAAGACCCGAACGGCGGTTTACCACTTGCAAGGCAACGGAGAAGTTGAGCGTACCAATCAGTC